GCCCAAAGCTCAAGAGTTTCCGGAGTACTCCTATAATGGAAAAGGGCAAAAATAATAAATACCTACTCTTGGCAACCAACTTGAATGCCTTCAGGGCTTTTTACATAATTATGGGAATGGACCTAGTAAGAGATCCAGAGAGTAATCATTACTGTGATATGACTGATCAAACAGCCGTGAAATGTCATTAGTTGAACAAAATCCGTCTGGAGCACTAATCTTTCTTAAGAGTCACCAGTATGCAACGATTGGTCTAGATCTTAATTCTAAAAGTTGAAAAATGCAAATAGTCTTTGTATTATTAGCTGCACAGTTTTTAGAGTGAAGCCAAGGGAAGGCTTTGAAGTTCTCCAGGGTCCCTGTCAAGGTACCCTCCTCACAAATGTTCTGGAATCAAGCTGCCATGATTCTGCTCTTGACCTTCCCCCCCACCTCAGCTGTGGTTTGGCCTCTAGCTGTACTTTGGTGGGTTCAGAAGTAGCTGTAGACATCCAATGGCAGACAGGGCTTCCTGCTCACCAGCACTCTCTCAGTCTCCCTTGCTGGGCTCTTTTCTTCCATTTCTCTTGATTGTCATTTGGGTTGCATCTCTTTGCCATCACTTTGTATTTTTACATGCAGGGAGAGGCTGAAGGTTAGGAATTCTGTGACTGGCAGTGTAGTTGATCATCTGGCAAGTTCTTTTTAAGGTAGCAGGTAAGAGTTATCTATTTCATCAGGGCCTTAAAATCCAGGATGAGAGAGTCTTTATTTTGAGATCCTCTTCATTGAGCTACAATTCCTAATTTCCTAGACAGTTCATTAAGTAGTTTTTCTGCTAAGAATGACTCCATCTTCACGTTTATTGACTTATGGAGGGTAAATATTAGGTTATGTACTGTTATGAAGTAGAAGATCTAGGCAATTTTGACTTCCATAATCAGAACGTGAGTGGTCCATTCTTCAGTTCCATTCTTGAGTTCTGTTGTTATTGTTTAAGTCAAGAGCATCTATGAGGTTCTGCTCAGCTGCTGGTTTTCTATCTTCTTTTCATTAATAATACTTTATCTGTTCTTTGTTTTACAGGAACTTGGTTTTTTTTCAATGATTTTTCCCTCTATGCTCCTCAGAGTTGTGACTTTAAACTTTTAAGAAAATTCCATTAAAATTATCTCAATGATTTCTTACAAAGTGGAGTTTATACACACACATGCTCAATTAGTACACTATCTTATACCTGAAGTTTCTCCATCCTTTTAAACAGTCACATAATAATCAATTTGTACAGGTGTTTTCTTTCTTTTTCTGGTCGGTGGGGCTTGCACTCTGGGCCTGAGACTTTGAACCTCAATCCTCAGATCTCAGCCTCCAGAGTAGCTAGGATTACAGATGTGAGCCAGTGATGCCTGGCATAAGATTGTTTTTTTTTTTTTTTGTTGGTTGTGGGGCCTGAACTCTGAGCCTGGGCGCTGTCCCTCAGCTCTTCAGCTCAAGGCTAGCACTCTACCATTTGATCTACAGTGCCACTTACCATTTTCTTATATATTAACTTCTCTTCTGTGGATTAACAAATAGTTTTGTAATTATAAACACTGATGCTCTACACATTCCACTATGCACAGCTGTATCTATAGAATAAATTCTTAGAAGCAAAGTGCTGGATTGAATGCTACTAGAAAGCTAGAAAGTTCGTGTGTGTGTGTGTGTGTGTGTGTGTGTGTGTGTGTGTTTAGGAAGTGGTATTCCATACTGATTGGGAGCATGAACTCTGGGCCAGGATGTGTGAGTTCATCATACTAAATCACTTAATAGTCCAGTGACCTTGGGCAAGTTACTTAAGTTTCTAGGTCATGTTTTTCTAATGGGTAAAGATAGGAATAATAATATCATCTTTCTCCTAGGGTGGTGAAGAATTAAACAAGTTCTTTTTCTGAGAGTCATGTCTGTTATTAAATACTCAGTAACCTTTATCTGTTAGTGCTACTCCTCTAGGTTGGACCTCATAAACTATTCTTTTTAAGTCACTGTTCTTGATGGATTGGTGCTAGGATTTTGAGTAGTTCAGACATACTCTAGGCATGTCCTTTGGGAGAGGTAAGGTGGTCTCCACAGCAAGGCTCCAAGGACAGACATACAGCAGATATGCAGCTCTGAGCTCTCTTACCTGGGGTTCTACTCTGGAAGGCTGCATGTTTAACATCTGAATGTGCACTTGTAAATATGCTTAGAATGTAGCAGAATAAATGGGAGAGCAAATAAAATCAGGCTTAAGAATTATTTTGTCTTGATTTCAATTCCTTCCAAATGCCTAAGCTTTTGAAATGTGTTGGTAACCATCAAACATACCTGGAAGGAAAAAGATGGAGGAAGAAAGCAGCATGGAGCAACCCTACTTGAGTTATTGGTAGCAGCCAGGGCAGACAAGAGAAAAGACAGTTCCTGGGTTCCCCAGGAATCATGAGTGATAGAAAGTGGTTAAAGCCTTGATATCCTGCTTCCTTGGGGGAGTGGCTTTGGACTGGTCATGACTGTGTGTGAAAAGGAAGACAAATATGTGTGGTGGTACACACTTATAATCCAAGCCCTTGGGAGGCTGAGACAAGAGGATTGTAAATTTGAGGCTGACCTAGGCTACATAGGACCCAGTCTACAAAATCTTTTTTTAAAAAAAGAAAGAAAAGGGGCTGGGAAGGTGGCTCATTGGTAGAGCGCTTGCCTTGCATGCCTGAGGCCCTGGGTTCGATTCCTCAGCACCACATAAACAAAAAGAAAAAAGCCGGAAGTGGCGCTATAGCTCAAGTGGTAGAGCACTAGCCTTGAGCTAAAGAGTTGAGGGACAGCGCCCAGGCCCAGAGTTCAGGCCTCACGAACAGACCCCGCCCCCCCCCCAAAAAAAAAGAAAAGAAAAGATAAAGAAAAGAGATCACTGAACAGTGGTGTCTCACACCTGTAATCCTAGTTACTCAGGAGGCTGAGATTATAGATTGTGGTTCAGAGCCAGCACAGGCAGAAAACTCCATGAAATTCTTATCTTCAATTACCTAGCAAAAAGCTGGAAATGCAGTTATAATTCAAATGGTAGAGTACCAGCCTTGAGTAAAAAAGCTAAGGAACACACACACACACACACACACACACACACACACACACACACACACGATAAATACCCAAGCTGGGAGTTTGAGACCTAGGGTCTGCTAAGCAAGTGGCAGCTTTAAAAATTTCTATTTCATTTTAAAAATTATCTTTAAGTGCCGGGCGCTGGTGGCTCACGCCTGTAATCCTAACTACTCAGGAGGCTGAGATCTGAGAATCCAGGTTCAAAGCCAGCCCAGGCAGGAAAAACCATGAGACTCCTATCTCCAATAAACTACCAGAAAACCGGAAGTGGTGCTGTAGCTCAAGTGGTAGAGCACTCGCCTTGAGCTGAAGAGCTGAGGGATAGTGCCCAGGCCCAGAGTTCAAGCCCCATGACTGACAAAAAAAAATCTTTAAGTATTTACACAGAGGTGTTCTGATTCAACATGCCAATTAGTGGAATATAATGCCACAATTTTCATCATTCCCAACCCCACTCTAAACGGCAGCTTTCGATATTTCATTTCTAACACTAAAGCAAAGCCGGCTCTTGATATCATCTACATTCTTTGCAAAACCATATCCATCTTTGTGTGTATCATCAACATGATTGGCTGTACATGGCTAGGTTGATGCTGAAAGATGCTCAGATTCTGGACAGGACAGCATGAATCGAGGGCTTTTACCCAGGCTGCTCAGGGGATAACTTTGCCTTGGTTGTTTGAAATGTCCAACACTTGGTCTCCACCTCTGAAAAATGGGTGGTTAGGGCCTTGATACCTGCCACCCTGTCTGGGAGTAAGAACCCATCTCGACATGACATTAAAAGACAAAACTAACAAATAAATTAAGAGGATGTGATATGTTAAGAACTCTTGACCCTAAAAGTCATTATTTAATTGCAAAACCACCACAGTATTATGTTTCTGTAACATTGCTAGAAGATGTTTGGTTAAGGAAACAGCCTGAATTTTGAATTGTTTTCTTCTATAGTTATGTTATTTTTGTTTCACCATTCCAATGTGTTGAGAAATAGGAGGTCTATGTTCAACTTGGGCTTACTTCCTAAAATTAAGTGGTACAAATAGTAGAAACAGTAGACAGGGCACTCTTTCACACGAAATAACCTAACAAATAATAGCAGTTGTTGATACGGATTATTTTTTTTTCTTGTCTGTCTGGTATTATTAAAAAAAAAAGAAAGCAAGAAGTTAGTTTGCATAGCAAAAATATAACTGAAAGTAAAGACTCATTTTTAGTGATCAGATCCTGTGTAGATTTCAAAAATCATTTGGGAAGAAGATTCAGGAAAGAGCCAGAAAACTCTTTGTGGCATCAAACGCAAAGATGGGATCTACCTGGATGAAAGAATCAACTCTACCTCCTATTTGCCTAATGAAACAGCTTCTGTGGTCCCTGGCCTCTCTTAGGGATCTTCATTTGTGAGAGATAACGGGGTCATTTTTGTTTTGTTTGGTGGAATAAATATTTGAAGGACGTAACTGAAGAAGGTTTTGGTGCTGCTATGAAGTTACTGATACACAGCTGGATGCTATTATGGCTGGAGCTATCAGGCTACATTATCTTTATGCCTGGGAGGTAACCTGAAGCAACTGTCTATTTACTTGGCACCACCTTAGTCTGCCCTGCTGGGGACTGACTGTAACTGGAGCCAACCACATGCCTCACAGCTTTCTTCAGCCACTGACAGCCTCCAGGAAAGAAGAGCGTGAAATTGCCCAGGATGCTTCTAAACTGGAGGCCGACCTGTTGAGTGACTTGGAGACCACGATCCTTCCATATCCTCTACTTCTATTTAGGGGCAACTGTCACTAGCAAGTCTTTCTCTTTGGGCACGGAACGTTTTACTACAAGGAACCACCCCACCCCCTTGGAAATGTTCCTTTCTCCCCCTTGAACTTTGCGATGTGTTGCTGCAGGCCATGTCCACGTGGAAAGCAAGACTCACCAGAAGACTGAAGCCTCCTTCTGGAAGGATGCATCCATTTCCCTGCTCAGCTCTGCTGGAGTGCTTCGGGAACTCCAGAGACAATGGCCACTTGGATCAATCCAGCACGGCTGAGACACCTCCTACCATCTATGACCAGCCCGTGGCCAAAGTGGGGAGACAGCCAACTCACCGGAGGGTGGAAGAATCAGCTTCAGAGAAAAGACAAGGCTCTGGCACCCACCTAGAGCGAAATGGCACCGCGAAGCAGAGCTCCAGTAACCACACTGAAAGCCAGCTTGCTGAGACCCCTGGAGATGTGCCTGTGGCCCTGCAGGGTGAAGCCGACTGTGAGGACGTTACGGTTCAGAGTTCCATCCCCAGACCCTCCATTATTGACATGCCAAAGGTGAGTGAGGAAGTGTTCCCCAGGGCGTGATGGTTAACATGGTATCTGGAAGAGTTGGGATTATTTAGGCAATGCTTGGGCAAAAACACATGTGTTCAAATTCACTTTGGGTTTGTTCACATTCCTTTTGGAATAAGACAGGGCAGGGAACTCTCACTAGTGTGAAGAAGTGCTAACACTTGGCAGATTTTCCAAAAAAAAGAAAAAGTTCTCAGAAGGAAGATAAGTAGAGAGGCAATGACAGTAAGCACTGGACCAAAATGCACTTTAACTAACTGGCTACCATGCCTGAGAACCGACAGCATTTCCAAGAAAGATTAGGAAGACAGCCTGGGAAAGCAATTATTTTCCCTTCTTTAAAAACAACAACAACAACAACAATAATAATGCTGGTCTGTGAAATGTATATATGTGAAAACCCACAAATATGAAGAGTTTGATTATAGACATTAAGAAATAGCTTCCAGGGCTTAAAATGTATCACAGGACAGCAAAGTAGCATGGAAAAATGTGCAGTGGATTTGTACTGTGTGCAGAGCAGTCCAGAAAGAAATGGAGAAAAATGTGCCTAACATGCATGCTGTTGTGATAGCTTTCTGAGATTCAAAAAAAAAAAAAAACAAAACAAACAGAAAGGGAAATGATCTGAAAAGTGGTGTCGCTGCTTCAAAGAAGCAGCTTTGTAGTTTAATTTGACACAGCAGATTTATATTAAAATAATTCAACTCAGCTCTTGTCTATATCCTTATATCCTAGAAGCAAAGGGTTTCACCAGACCGTAACAGCTATAATGTATCTATTTTTCTAGCACCACTGAATCAAAATCCAAACCAACCAACCAAGTCCAAATCAAGTATTCAATTTTGAGGACATCCAGATTAGCATATTCTTTAGTGGAGTTATAATTAGATGAGTGGATTTCATGGACACATTCATATTTGTGATATGTTCTAAGAACTAAGGATTGATGTACTGTTTTAATGAGCTAGGAGACTTTGTATTGGGTAGAGAATCAACCCATCATGTATCCTATATTGCTGAATACACATTCGAACAGAATTAACAAAAACAGTGGGAGCAATGTGAAAATGTATTGTTCACTTGGTAGGAGCAAAACCATGTATAGACAACAGACATGAGGCTTGGGGTAGAGAAGCAGGCCAAGGGCAAGGCTAAATATTGGACACACAAAAAGCATGTATAAGAGGGTTCAAAGGAGGCTTGAGAAACAGCATACATATTCCAGAGGGAAGATGGCCTCGAAGGAAGCTTATGATTGCTAAAGGACAGGCATTGAAATCAAGGCAGTCATATGACCAAGACTGTATATGAATAGGAAATAAGTGTAGTTTAGGAATAGATACATTAGACTGGCTAAGGATGAGGCTACTGCTTGGAGAATCCACAGTAGATTAGGACCACCCATTGGCTATATCAAATGCTATAGTAAGAAGTTATGTTAGTGACAGTGGAAAGCTTTGAGAATTTGGGGCAAAGATGTGTGTCATACATTGAATTCCATTCTGGGAAAATAAATAGGTAAAGCCATGTGGGATGGTTTAGAATTGGAAAGGTGGACACAATAACCCAGATCTAGGACAGCTGAAGAAAGACCAGTAAAATGAGGGAGTGAGAGGGAGCAAACACAGCAGCCACGGTGAGGAGAGTAGTGAGAGCAGGCTGGGGGTGGGGCCAATCAAAGGAAAACAGGGTGAAGTGAAGTGCCAGGGTGGAGTGGCAAAGGGACACTCTGTGGGCATTCAAGCGGGCATCTGCTCTAGTTCGGATGCAGGGGCTCATCCGTTCAGAGCATCTGTAGCCATTCTTCTAAGCACCACACATGCAATCTCTCATCAAACTCTCAAGACAGTGAGGTGCGTTGTCTCACAACTCCCATTTTAGAGAGGAAGATGTTGGCCAAGATCTGCCCAAGGCTGCAGAGGCAGGAAGTGGCAGAGGCAGAATTAGTGTCTGATTCTATTTAATTCCAAAATCTATCCTCAGAAGCATAATGTGCTTCTTCTACTAACTATGTTGTGTTTGAGGATTTGTAGCTAAATATGCATATGGGATCTCATTTGGTATGCAGCCAAATTCAAATTCCATATATTTGAATGTGCATAGGTTGACGTATGTGTCTATTTGTATAATTATTTGTTTTTTAAAATTCACTTGCTTAATCATAGCTGCATGGTTTATCATATCATGGAAAGGGATACTTTCCTTCTGTGTTCTATTGATGACATTTTGTTGATGACATTGCTCTGAGATATCCTGATAGGATAGCCCAGCCTCTTCATTGGCTCCTAACTTTGCAGTGTCATCACTCCTCAGCAGAAGATGAGACACTTATCTGCCTTTTGTTACAATCTTGCCTCATGGCCAGAGTATTTCATCCTCATCACTGATGCTGGCACAAATCATACTGTTGTTGTTGAGTTCAGCTTCAGAACATAACTATAACTAAGAATCTCAAACACCTCTGTCCTTCATTAGTCAGCTAGTGTTCAGAGGGAAGTGATTCATTTAAATCTGACATGGCATTTGGTCTGAGGGGAAAAGCTAAGAGTAATGAAGCCAAGAGAACTAAGTAAAGCAGAGCTGGGTCATCTTAGGTACCGGTTACAGTGTTTAAGCAGGGATTTCAACTCATCTTCAAACCTTGCCTTGTGGTTATCTTTTTCCTGATCCAGGCCTGAACTCAAGATACTTGTAACCCTAGATTTAGAAAGTATCTTACATATTTTGTTTTTTTCAAATTTTTACCTTTAAGTAATTGTATAAAGGAGTTGCTATTCAACCAAGTAGCATACACATATAACGGATCTTGATCAATGTCTTAATACCCTGATTTCCGTTCTTCACAGCATAAACTCAGAGCAAAATTGTGGGATTATATGGTACTCAAAGTATTTTTCTGTACTTGTCCTGAGGCTTGAACTCAGGGCCTGATCACTGTCTCTAAGCTTTTGTACTCAAGGTTAACATGCTACAACTTGAACTACAGCTCTACTTTCAGCCTTTTGCTAGAAATGTCTCTTTTAATTGGAAATGAGTCTCACAGACCTTCTTGCCCAGGCTGGCTTTGATCTGAGATCCATAGATCTCAACTTCCTGAGTAGCTAGAATTATAGGCCTGAGTACCAGCCCCCTGCTTGTTTTTAAAGGAATTCCATTTCCTAAGGTGTCTGCACCACTTGACATTTTCACCCCAGCAATGGACCAGGCTTTCCAGTTACTCCTCACTTATCCTTGTCACTTATCCTTGTCCTCTGATGTGTGTTCACTTTTTCATTTTCGTTTTTTGGTGGGAGACTGGGACTCAAACTTGGTACCTGACATTTTTGCTCACTGGCTGACATTCTACCCCCTGAGCCATGCCTCCAAGCTCATGTGTTTGCTTTTTGGATATTAGCTATCCTAATGGGTGAGAAGTAGTAGCTCCTGTGGTTTTGAGTTGCATTTCTCTAAAGAGCAGCTTTATTGAATGTCTTACGTGCTTATCTGATAGCTATATATAACTTCTTTGGGAAGATATCTATTTAAAGTCTTTGTCCATATATTAATCAAGTTGTTTATTATTGAATTGCAGCAGTTCTTTGTATGTTCTAGATGTTAATATATATATATATAACATATAATAGTTAATTTAATACATAAATGGATTATACAACAGTTGCCCTGGCTGAAACAAATCCTACTTTTTTGTCAGTTGTGGGGCTTGAACTCTGGGCCTGCACACTATCCCTCAGCTCTTCAGCTCAACACTCTACCACTTGAGCCACAGCGCCACTTCCAGTTTTCTGAATGGTTTATTGGAGATAAGAGTCTCATGGAATTTCTTTCTTGGGCTGGCTTTGAACCGTGATTCTCAGATCTCAGCCTCCTGAGTAGCTAGGATTACAGGTGTGAGCCACCGGCGCCAGGCACAAATCCCACTTTTTAACAGGTGAAAGTTTTGTCTTATAGGGGACATTTTAGATTAATAATAATCAAGAACCTTTATTGATCTTTATTTTTATTTTTGTTGTGTGTTTGACTTCACCATAAAGATAATGCTGATATCCTAAAGTAGATTAAGAAGAGTTTTCTACTTTGCAACACTTTGGGAGAGTTTGTGGAGTTAGGTGGTAATTCTTTTTTGCATGTTTGGTTGATTTTACCAATATGGTCCATGGTTTTTCCTTATTGAGAGGTGCTTGGTTACTAAGCCCACCTTATTAGTGATAGCACCATTCACATTTTCTCTATCTTCCTGATTCAGTCTTGGCAAAGAGTACTACTGCTCTAATAGCATTCCTTGAAAATGATGATTACAGTCATAATTGCCACTCATTGAGCACCACTAATAGACAAGCCATAGTGTTTAGTACTTTCCTTGAATTGTTTTATTCAATCTTTAAATCTTCTTATGATTTTGATCCCTGATAATATCTTCTTCTGCTCAAAAAATCTCCAGTGGCACCCCATTTCTCTCAGAGTAATCCAGGTTTTCACAGTGGTCCATGGGGCCTATGTATAGCATCCGCAGTGACTTATCCGGACTTGCCTCCTACTTTTTCCTGATGGATATAGTAGAATCAGTGGGATTAAGCATGTGTTCCATATCTACTCTTGGCTCACCTCTCCAGCATCCTGGCAATTCAAGCCAACAACTCTGGATAGGGCTCCTAATTCTGCTCCCTAAAATTGTGCTTTCTCTTCTCTTTGTTTAGTCTCTGTTCACAACCAGACCATTCAATAGTTCAAACTTTAGCCTCTAGAATCAGATTGTAGCCATGGGCTCCTGAAGCTCCATCAAAGCCATGTTCATTGGGATTTGGCAGTGGAGAGAGACTCCTGGGATACCAGGAGGTGTTCCTCTCTGTAGAAAAAGGCTTTTAGTTTTAATGATATAAATTCAAGGCTACAAGACAGTACATCATTGAAAACAATTGAGGAGGCAGGGCTGCTTAGAAGCATAGTGTCTACTCACATAAAATCCTCCATTTACTCCCTCA